TGAGTTCTTATATAGACTTTATACCAAATTAGGAACTCTAATTGCTCGTATTTTAGAGGCACTAATATGCTTAGAAGCTTTTAGTCACTGTCACTTTCAATTATACCCCACGTTTACATACACATATGTATGTATAATCAATTTTTTATATCAACAGAATAGTTTGAATTTTGACATGTCTGCGCACACATAAGCACCACCATAATCAAATATATAACATTTTTATGACTCCACAAAAGTTCCCTTTGTCCCTTGCAGTCGACTGCTCTCTATTCCCAGCCTCAGGCAATTACTGATTTTTTTTCCCCCCACTACTATAGATTAGGATTTCGCAACCTCAGCACTGTTAATATTTTGGGCTGGGTAACTGCTTGTTGCCAGAGGGTCTGGTCCTGTGCCTTGTAGGATTTTTAGCAGCATCCCTGGTCTCCACCCGCTAAATGCCAGTAGAACTCTCTCTGTACTCTCCACTCCTAGGTGTGACAATCAGAAATGTCTGTGAAGACTGCTGAAGTAACTCCTGGAGAGCAAAACATAGTCTGCTTGAGAATAGCTACCAAAGATTAGTTTTTCCTATACTATTTTTTTTTTTTTTAGCAGTTCATACAAATAGAATCATATACGATACTTTGTTTGTGCCTGGTTTCTTTCTCTCAGCATAATGGTTTTGAGATGCAGCCAGTTTGTTACGTGTACCATTTGCTATCTCTTTTTACTGAATGGGGTTCTAGTATGGATAAAGTATAATTTGGTTAAATTGTACCAAAACATTTGGTTTTGTTCACATTTTCTTTAAATACTTAAAAATAGCTTCTTTAAAATCTTTGCTAATCATATCACACTAGTCCTTTCTGGATCTATTGATTTATCTACTGATGTAGATAAATGTGAGCCACATTTTTCCCCTTTCTCATATTAGTGATTTCTTTATTGAATATCAGACATCATTCATTCACATCATTCATTCATACACATTCATTCATTTTGTTTTTCTTTAAATAGTAGTGGACATTTTTTAGAGTGCTGTCAAGTTATTCATGGATCAGTTTGATCCTTCAAGGCTTTCATTTTTTGGTTATGTTGGGTGTAGAGTTGCCTTTATTGCAAATTTAACTCTATTACTAAGGTGTTACTTTGCTGGCACCTTTATGGACTACCCTGGTAGTTACAGGATTCTTCACTCTGGAACTTGGACATCAGCTAGCACTAAGTATATTCTGGAAGTTGTTCATTTTACAAGCTGTTTTTTTGCCCAACCTTGTGGAGTTTCATTCTTCATTTGCATAGCTGATTATTTTGCAATCTGCTTGATGGAGACTTACACAGATTTCTGTAGTTCTTTGCTCTGCTCTTCCTCTTCAGTACTATGATCCCCAATTTTTTTAGCCTCCTCAGTCTCTGCAATTTGACTTCTGTCTCTTCAACTCTGCAAGACCTCCATAGCATCCACATCCTGCATAGTGATCTTGAAATTTCCTTCAAGATAAAAGGCCAGTTGTAAAGTTCACCACGTTAGTTTCCCTTTTCTCAGGCAAAACAGTCCTGTACTGCCTGTTGCCCAATGTTTGGAAACCATTGTTTGTTATATTTTATTCAGTTTTCAGGTTGTTTACAGCAGGACAGCAAGTCTATTCCTAGTACCTCCATCATGGCCAGAAGCAAAACTCTGGGTTTTAATTCTTTTGTGTTATTATAAACATAGAAATTTTGGGAAAACATCAGATTCATGTTTGCTCTACTCGCATAGTTACTAATTTAGAGTTACTGTATTCCTATAGTACCATTCCTGTGATTCCATTTCCTCTTGCCTCATTTTCTATGTCCAAGGGCCTTTGCTGGTCTTACACCATTGGCCTTTCTCTGGCCTTGCCCACTTATTCTGCACAAAGGTAGGAAGAATGTTTGGTAGGGGAACTTGGGAGAAGGTTGGAAAATCTTGGATTAGCCTACTTGTATAAGGTGTACTTTCATGTTAGCCTATCTTTAGGTTATATTGGTACATTTTAGTTAGCAGAGGCCTTTGGTTGTCTATCATTGTCTGTGATTGAATAGGTTAGTTTAATTCAGGGAAGACATTTGGAAGTTCATATGGCAGCAGATCTAAGTAATGGTGTCTACTTCAGCTGTTTCAGTACTAACATAGATTTCTTGGACTCCATTTATCTACTCCTATCTACTACTCTGTTAGTCCCAGATTTGGAGGGGGAAATAAAGGAATCACTGTTCCCCTCAAACCTAAATATCACAGATATACATATTTTTCAGTTAACATTATATCAAATCACTAAATATTTTTAACTGCGAGGAATGCAAATTGAAAAGCTCACACTCTCGGGCGCCTGGGTGGCTCAGTTGGTTAAGCAACTGCCTTCGGCTCAGGTCATGATCCTGGAGTCCCGGGATCGAGTCCCACATCGGGCTCCCTGCTCAGCGGGGAGTCTGCTTCTCCCTCTGACCCTCTTCCCTCTTGTGCTCTCTATCTCTCATTCTCTCTCTCTCAAATAAGTAAATAAAATCTTAAAAAAAAAAAAAAGAAAAGCTCACACTCTCATTGATTGAGAAAATGTAACCAGATATATATAAAGGCTACCAAGTTGTCTCTAGGAGTCTGTAGTCACTCTGTCTCTAGCTCAGCCTAAATTCCAATTTCCAGGTAAACTGAACCCTTTAGCCCTTCCACCAACTGGTAGATTCACATGCACACCACATCTGCTGCTTCAGCACTGTTTACAATTGTGATACCTTGTGCTCTTTTTCTTAGAATGAGATGATAAAAAGCAAAACAGAATAGCTAATGTGAAAGGATAGGGCAAGAGGAGGGTGTAGGGCAGGAGGGAAGAGGGAACAGATAATATAGGACTTTTCAAGAGCAGGTAATTTACAAAAGAGCTACATGGGCATCTTCTACTTGAAGGAGATAATAGTAGTTATAAAAGACAGGTTATACATGGATAGAAAAGATGATATAGAGGAAGAAACAAAGATGAAAAACTACATTTGTCTTTGCAATCATATGCCACTAGTGACTCTTATTACGCTTTAGGTAGTTTGTTCTTGGGAAAGAAGTAATGTAGATATTCTAAGTGGAAACTATAAAAATTATTTTAATGCTCTTGAATCAAGTATTTTACCTAATTCATATTAAGATACATTTAACATTATAACTTTGTTATTAGTAACATAATTCAACAAAATTATCAGCTTTGGTATTTCTTGAGCTTAGGTTAAAGGTTTTGAGAGTTTTTATTAAAAAGAATCATTTTCTCCTTTGACTTAGTAACTTTAATTTTTCTGTAGTTATTGCTTCTGATTGAGGCTATTTATGAAATGTTACAGGATCATTTGGTCTTAATTTTCAAAGAGAATAGATTAGTACTAAATATCTGAAATACACATTCTTTCAACAACACAATTCATTCTGGTTCATATGTATATTTGTGTGAATATACATATGTTTGGTATATTTATTTGTATACTCATGTTTGATATGAGGAGGCTTTTTTTTGGTGACTTGTCAAATAAGGACATATTTACATAAATTATGATTTATATATTTTAACATAATATTTTAGATATCATAACCATGAGAACTGTGTGACATATAGCTGCTTTTTTCAGGGTTAAATAAAACTGATTTAGATCGTAAGAGTGCTAAGTGTGTCTTAATTGTAGTATTATAATATGTGTGTGTATATATATATATATAAGCATATGTTTTATGACATGTGGGTTTCATAAGGGCAAGTGACTTTGGCTTGATTATTATAGCCAAGTAGGAGCTTGGGAGGAGGAACTCCATACATATATTTTTAATGTATTTTTTACAAAGATTGGATGGAAAAATGAAAATAGTTGGCATGGTAGAAAGATTAATTTTTTAAATATGTAAGAGTAAGGACTTGCTTTATTATTATAAAAATAGTATTATTTTTTTTAAGAAGGTAAGAGTGGGTTGAAACTCTCTCTAGTATTAGATTGACCACTGTTATCTTCCTGGTGGGATTTATCAGCCCAAAGAGAGCTTTGGCAGATATATTTTGTAGTGTTAGTGTTCCCAGACACATCTTTGGACAGGGGCAGTCAGGACTTTGACCCTTTATTTTCAAAAGGCTCTTGTTCCTTTTTGATCCCCAAATCTCTTTCAAGGAAAGTGTTAAAAGGTATGAGTTTATGTGACTACTTATTTCATCATGATCTTCTGGAAAATAAGAAAACATTATTGCCTCTTTTTTCTCCCCCTTGAATCTTTATATGTGTGTGGGAAGATACTATATATGTTTGTTTGGATAGTACTTGTATATCTTTTTTTTTAAGGATACCTACCTCCTTTTTAATATATTATTTATAGATGTTTTCTAATACAAAATCTCACGGGAATGGTATTAAAATGGAAGATGGGAAAGTCTCTTGGGAATAAAATTAAAGTTAAAATGGAAAAATAAAATTAGATGGAAGTTGCCATGTATTCATGAAATTGCCTAGTAAGAAGTTATATTTTAGCCGTAGAAACTCTTTCAGCACCACTCATTTTTTGTTTTAATTTTTTGCAAGAAGTGGAAATAAATAATTGACTAGAAATTTTCTATGCTTATGTTTTCTTTTTGCTTTTAAAGAAATGAATCAAATTGTGTCTGAATGTGCATGGGAAAGGAGTATAATGTTCATGTCAATCTAGGTAGTGAAATCTTACATCTATCACATCTGTTATTTGATGTCTGTTGCTTGAAATACTCAGTAATGAATCATGTTCATATAAGAAAAAGAACATTCAAGAATTATGGTTACAAATCAATCCATTTTGTGAGCTTTTAATAAATTCATTTTATAGGATTTTAATAAGTATAATTGGTATAAGATGTAATTACAGAAAAATATTTTCTTTTGAAAGCTATATACTATTTCTGGAATTTGTAACTGTTTATATATTTAACATTAATACTTATTTTTCGGTGTTTCTAGCATCTCATTATAATAATATAACATGTTGTGTTTCTTATTAGACAGTGATCTTGGCAAACTTTTATTATGCTTCAAAATGTCTGATAAACAAACCGAGTGGATAGAAAACTGCCGAAGACAATTTTGTAAAATGATGAAGGCCAAACCTGATATAATCAGTGGAAGTGGTAAGTATGCTGTTTAATTTTTGTGGTGTTTTTGGTATGAATATTATATTAATGAAAGCGGTGTTTCCTAAAGACCAGTGTTGACATGTCTAGAATACATAATACTGACTCCAGAAGTCCATTGACTTCTGAGAAACTTATGATCCTGGAAAACAAAAATTATAATCTGAAATTCAGGGAAGCTGGGGGCCAGAGAGAAGATGGAGGAAGAGGCCCACCGACCCTCACCTCCTAATGACAGTAAAATTGTAGGCAGCACAAAAACTGCCAAAAAATATTAAAATCTGAGAAACTACTAAACTTTTTTTAAACTAAGAGGTCTTGGTAAGCAGTTGGAACATTGATCTGCCTTTACCCAGGTAACCATTTGCTCAGTTTCACCAGCTTTCACTATACCATACTGCTATATTTTTGGAAACCTTATTGATTTTTTTATTGACACATATTTTGAAACTGTGCCACATCTAGCCAAGTAAATTTAGTCACTCTTAAGGAAATTGAAATTTTATTGTGAGGGAATAGCTGTTTCCTAAACTAGCAAATAAATTGTTTTATATTCAAATATATGTGCGTTTGTTTTCTAAAAATCATTTTTAAATTTTGAATAAAGATCTAAGAAAAAGGTTCTAATGGAAATATAAGGTGGATTTTTTGAAAGCTGTAATTTAAAATTGTCCACGTTATTAGCCATGCTTTATGGTTTTCATATTAACTGTTATGAAATTAAAAGTGGGAAATAAAAATGTTTATATTTTGTTGTTGGAGACAGTATATTTTCTGAGAATAGTGACATAATCTATGGGCAACTCAGAGATGAATTCCCTAGATTTTCTTTTTGCCTCATATATCCTAGAATGAGTGATTAAGAACACCATCAGATGTAGGATAAAAAGGTGGGGTCAACATAAACTCATACTCTCTAGCGAAAAGGACCAGGAAAGGGGTAGTCTATCAGGACACATTTTTATAGAGAGTGACCACTTTAATCCAGCCAAACACCACAGAAAATCCTGCTAGCAAGACTTGGGCACAGTCTGGACTTCCATCCTTACCTGGCAATAATGGGACACCCTTGCCACTCCTTGCTAGGATTGTATCAGAGAAGACTTAGAGAGTTAAGGATTTTCACTATCACTCAGTGGTAACAGGGCCAGACCTCCTTCTTCCCCTCCACACGTGTTTGTCTCACACATGCAACAAATTTAAAATTAGAAAGTATCAGCAAAGAAATAAAACCCAAAAGGAAATTTAGAAGTGAAAATACCACAACCAAAATAAAAAGCTAAATGGATTGGTTCAACAATAAAATGGACAGAGGGAAGAATTGGTGACTTGAAGGTATCAACAGAGAGGAAATAGACTGAAAAACAAAACAAAACAAAAAATTAACAGAGACGGAGAGACCTGTGGAAGCATAACAGAAGGTCTAGCATTTGTGTCATTGGAGACCTGGGAAGACATTAGGACTATAAATGTCTTTGAAGAAACATAGCTAAAAACTTTCCAAATTTATCAAGAAACCCAAATCTAAAAGTATGGATTCAAGAACCACAAACAGGGTAAACCCAAAGAATTCCATACCAAGACACAATATAGTCAAACTTCTAAAAACTAAAGACAAAAAAATCTTGAAAGCAGAGAAGGAAAAACAACATCATTCCTACAGCGGAAAATCAATACCATTGACCATGGACCTCTCACCAGAAAAGATGGAGGACAGAGGAAGTGGCATGACATTCAAGCACTGAAAGAACTGTTAATCTGAATTCTCTATGCATTGAAAATAGTCTTCAGGAATAGGAAATCAAGATATTCTCAAATGAAGAATTTGTCAACAGCAGACCTACCCTAAATGAAGGGATAAAAGAAGTCCTCTACCTTTGTACTAGCCTCACAAATTCCTGAGACTCTATAATTATACAAAATAAGTTTTCTTAAAAAATATAGAGGAAAGTGAATATAAACCACTTGAGAACATTGAGAAAAATAGTCTGACTGTGCTTATAATTTGTATAAAAAGTGGATATGGTTGGATGCAGTAAGATTGTAAAGTGCCTGCAACCCATGAGTATAATGTTAACTTCATGGGGTAGGGAGATGGGAGCCATGATTTAGTTCTTGAATAAGCAAAGTGTTCAAGGAAAAAGCCTCTGGTGGTTCCATGCAAGATGGACTGATTGGGAAAAAATTGGGTCTCTATTGTAATTATCCTATGATCTGATGATATGCTAGCAGTGATAAAAGATAAAAAAGAATTAAAAAAGAATGAATCCAGGAGAAATTTTGCATGTTTACAAACACTGAGCTGCCTTAGTTTTGGAACCAGCTTCTCTTGTGATAGCAGTGCCAAGGGAGAAATTAGTCAATACCCAAGTATCCCTGAACAATCTGTCCTCAGTGTTTTCTCATTAGATAAACCCATGTCCCTTTGTAGTTTGTATGTACGCACACACACACACATATATATATCTTATACATTTTTTTTATAGTCTGTGTCATAGTCCAGTCCCATGGAATAAATATGTTTTAAAGGAGGCAGCTTATAATCTAACATCCTTTCTAGAAATTCCAGGTCTATCATTTGAAATAAAAAGATCCACTTAAGATGAAAAGAATATTTTATGGTTTACTTTCTGGACAGTAATATTCTAGAGTTAATTTGTATTTAAAGTTAAGTGTTTCATGATATGAACTAATTTCCTTGAGTTATAGATGATGGAATTTTTAGTGAATTGACAACGAGTGAAGTGGTTGGCCATACTGAGATAAATAGCCACTCTAGTAATTATGCAAGTTCAGCTACACTTATGTTTGGTTAGTTAGATGTGCCAATGAGATTTTAGCCACGTGTTCAACTACTGTATGTAGATCAGTGTTTAGTATTATTCCATGATTATAGCCTATCCCTCAAAATATTTGGAAGTGCATAGTGCTGTTTATAAGGGTTGCTGGGCAAAATGAGTCTATTGGAATCAGTAGAAATCCAGAACCTTCTCCAGATAGTTTGGCGATGTAATTTTTGCATACAAAGTATAAAAGTAGTTAATCTAAAAGCCTCCAGTGTATGGATCTAATGGCATAATTTTGCATTTCAAGATCAGTACTTGCCATAAAATAGTGTGCTTTTGCAAAGTCTGCAGTTAGTCTGGTAACTCTTTAAGTTTCAAATTATATTGTGTTTAGCTCCACAGATATGATAAAGAATTTTTTTATTTCACTGAAGTGTGTTTAGGTATCTGTCTGATGGCTAAACCTGATTCTGGGCATATGATTCAAAGAATTGCTTAGCAGTATGCTGTGACCTTTCCCATTAACTCAGGCACTTTACTTCAGTGCATAGCATGTAGCAAACATACGGTTGTGCTAAAATGAGAATAATTATAATGTTAAATGGATATTTCCACTTAAAATTCTTTCTATATAATCTTTGTTACTAGTGTGTATCTCACATTTTATTCTTATCATTTGATTCAGAATGATTTTCTAAAATTCATTAAGATATTCTTAAAAAATTGTAATCTCAAGAGTCTCACTATAATTTTTTAATTTAAATTCAGTTGATTAACATATAATGTATTACTTGTTTCAGGGGTGCAGGTCTGTGATTCGTCAGTCTTTTATAAGACCCAGTGCTCACTACAACACATACCCTCCCCAGTGTCCATCACCCTGTTATCCCCATCCCTCCACCCCGCTCCCCTCCAGCAACCCTCAGTTTGTTTCCTAAGATTAAGAGTCTCTTATGTTTTGTCTCCCTCTCTGGTTTCGTCTTGTTTCATTTTTCCTCTTTATATTAAATAACATAAACAAACACATGGAGGTTGAAAGCTCACCTAAGGGCTATTTATGTATAGATTCATAGGTTAAAACTTTGAAAGATTTTTCTGTGAGAGAATTTATCCCTATGCATGTAAAGATAGAACCATTACACAATTATAAGTTTAAATAATTGACAATACTGTTGACCTTTCTGACCCTCCACTACTATATTCTCATACTTTTTAATACTTATTTTAATTTGAAATCAGAATATGAATAGAGTTCAGTGATTAAAATTTTTGTTTTTAATCTTAGGCCATTAAAAAACTGTGATATGTAGCTTGTCAGAGCTACAATTGTTGGAAAGCACATGTTATTCCTGTTTGATTTTACATTTTTCACATGTTGAACACTAATTTTCTTTATGGACTTATGTGCTTAAAATGCACTTGGATATGAAAAAAGGGTCCATTTAGTTAATATAGGTCAGAGTCAATATCCTGAATGTAACGCAGTTTTAAAAGGTGGCTTAAGCTTGCTTGTTTTATATATATTGTGTGTGTATATATATATATATAATATATAATATATATATTCTGTGTATGTATATCATTTACTTTATAGATATATTTCTTTCCAAAAAACCAATTCTGGATTCTATATTAAATATAATTCATCTGATTACATACATTTTGAGAGTGGTAAATGCAAACACTGTGGCATTATCAGTCCAGTCCAGGAATCATTTGTTCCTTCTAAACCAGATAGAGAAAAACTTACTTTTTTTTTTTTGATACGGTTCTTTACTGTTTCACTGATAGGCGTCTTTTCCAACTTTTTTTTGATTAATAAACTTTTTTAGAGCAATTGTAGATTTACAGCAAAATTGAGCAGAAAGTATGGAGAGTTCCCATATACATTCTATGCCTTATACATGCACAACCTCCCCCACTATAACACCTGTTACAATCAACGAACCTACATTGGCACATCATTATCATCCAAAGTCTATAGTTTGCATTGGGTTCACTCTTGGTGTTTGCACATTCTATGAATTTTAACAAATGTATAATGGGGAAATTTACCCACCATTTTTGTGTCATAGAGAAGAGTATCACAGCCCTAAAAATCCTGTGTTCTACCTATGCATCTTTCCCTCCACCCAACTGCTGGCAAGCTTACTTTTGATCCAGTTGCCTTAAACAGATATAAAGTTGCCAAGTGTATAAAACACATAATATGTCCTGGTCTTGAAAGGGAAGGGAGTTATGCCTTGATTGTGGTCTTGGAGTTTAGATAATTTTTTTTTTTCTGCATGTGTGAATAATGACGATAAGATATTATAGCCTAGTTAGTGATGATTTTCTTTCTGTATCTAGATCATTTAGCGAATTCTGAAGTAATCCTTAGAGACTCTAAAGATAACAGATGATTCTTTTCCAGTTTTACATTGAATAGGTTCTCAGTGGAGCAATTAAAATTTAATTTACATCAAAAACATTGTTATGAATATTAAAGTGCTTTGTGTTTTGAATTGGACCCCCTTAAGGGTGTAACTGTGAAGAAGTTCAGATGACTTTTATCTACTAGTCTGTGACTTCAGAGATGCATTATCACATATTATTCTTGACCTTTAATATCCTAATTATTATCTTGTTTATTACAGCTTTACTAGAATTGCTTGAAAAATTTGTGCTTCATCTCTCCGAAAGCGCATCTGAATGCTACTTCCCCTCAGTGGAATATACAGGTATGTTTTAAGCATCTTGAATTTTGAGAAGCTCTTAATTATCTAAAAAATAGATAATATTTCATAGAGCTGTCTAATTAGATTAAAAATATGCACAAGGTTTCTCATCTTAAAAATCTCTCACTTGGTGCCATATACAGTATAGATATCTTTCAGTCTCTTCTGTGCAAGTGTCTGGGTTTTCTTGTAACTTTCTCTTTTTTGAGCTTTTTTTTCCGGTCTACCCATCAAAAGTTGTTTTTCATTAAGGCAGTGTCTTCCTCTCTTTTGATTCTATCCACTATCCTCTAGGATCTCCTTTGTTTGTACTGTTTTTACCTACCTCATATGTTGATAACTTCAAAATTCACATCTTCTATTCAGAGATCTACTATAAGCTTCATTGTGGTATTCCCAGCAGCTTAAAAGGTAAACATCACCCGGATGTGCTACAGAAACCCTCAAACTCTAAATGTCCAGCAGGGCCCTCACCTCATCATACCTTATTAACATATACCCTTTTCTACATTGTGTTTTGGGGGGCAATACAATCATCTACTGTCCATCTAAACCAGAAACTGAATAATGATCTAAGTCCATATTTTCTTCTCAATTACCAAACTATGTTAATTCTATGTTCTTAATAGATCTCAAATTTATCTACTTAATTGACCACTTCTTTGTTCAGGCCCCCATTACTTCTTGCCTAGGGTATTACAACAGCCTCTTTTCCAGGTGTTGCTGATTGGAATCTGATTTCTTTTCAAAGGTATCCTTTATGCTGCTCTCAGAGTGACCTTTGAAGTGCAAATCTGACCTACTCATTCCTTGAAGTGCAAGGAAGATCCTTCCTTGGAAGGATCAACATTGACCATTGCATAAAGTCTAAGCTTCTTACCTTGATACCGAAAGCCTTACATTTTCCTTCCCTTTTCTTCCTCTCTGGCATCATGTCTTTTTCTCCATGCCTTCTGTTTATTTTTCAGGAACACTAAACTCTTAGCAGCATTGCCAGCTTCTCCCTTCCCCCACTCAAAGACACATTCATTTATTAAACGCATACTTACAGTTTTCTACTATTTAATAGAGTTTTTATAAGCATATAGACACAGCAGTAAACAAAAGAGGGAAAGAATCTTGCCTTTTGGTGGCAAGACAGACAATAAACAAATGCTTTAGTATATCAAATAGTATGGCGGCAAATGAGAAATACACAGCAGGGAAGAGGGCTGGAGAGTGCTAGCTGGGGATGGGGGTTACATTATTAATCATGTTCAGACTAGGAAAGTGGGGAGCAAGAGATGTAGATACTTTCAGGAGAGGAGAATTCCAGCTAGTGACCAGGAAAGAGACGAGTATGGCTGACCAGGAGTATGGGAGAAGCATTGTTGGTATTGAAGTCAGAGAAGGAAGGATGATAGAGGGTTTTTGAAAGTCACTGCAGCGTCTTGAACATAAGAACACAGGCTCTGATTTATATTTTTACGAAAGACTGCTGTGGAGCCTGTGTTGAGCAAAGACTGAAGGGAGGACAGAGGGCTAAGACAGGGAGATGAAGTAGGAAGCTATTGAGAAGATCCAGATGAAAAATGGCAATGGTTTCGATGAGGATGTCAGTGGGAGATAGTGAGAAGTATTTGGATTCTGGGTATATTTTGATGATAGAACCAACAGAATTGAGTAACAGATCGACAGTGGAATGTGAGAGAAAGGAAGGAATCAAAGAAGACTCCAAGTCATTGATCCAAGCCACGGGAAGGATTAGATTATCATACACTGAGATGGGGAGGAATGAGGGAGAAATAGGTTTGAGAGAGGAGATGAAGAGCTTGCTTTTATGTTAGGTTTTGAATACTTGTTATACATTTAAATAGACATATTTTTTATACATTGGATATTTGAATCTGGAATTTAGGGGGAAGATGTGGGTTGGAAATATATATTGCTAAATCATCAGCTTGGTATATAAAGCCAGTATGCATCTCTGTCATGTCTTTCTCATATTCCAACTTAATGTCTTAATGTGCAGTAAACTCCTATAGGGTAGTTTTCACGTCTTATCTGTCATATCCTCTGCAACTAGAATGACAGTGTTAAGAAATATTTGACAAAGAATAGGTAAAAGAATGAAGGAGGAGGGCTTTATAAACTGTATCAATCAGTTTGTCTTAATTTTAATAGGCAGTAGATTAAACCCTTTAAGATTTCTGAGCAAAAGCTTTACTTGACTCATCTGTACTTTAGGAAGATTATTTTAGTGACTGTGTAAAGGATGAACTAGAGTGCAGAACTGAAATCTGCCAAAGGTGAATCTCCAGGACATGAGAGTAGGTAAAGAAATCGTGAAGAAAACAGAGAAGTAGCAGAGACTCATGAAAATAGATAATCAAGGGATACTGCTCCTCTTCCTTGTAAGGGTAACATGACTTCTCTGTTTGCTGAAGAAATCATCATTTAAATATTTATTCAAGTTAGACACTAAATGTCCTATTTCCTTAAAAAGAAAAATATATGCTTCCAGTCTGGCCCAGCCTATCCTTCTGGCCCTATTACCCACCACTGATCAAAGGCCTCCTGTGCATTCATGTCACTGAACCTTTGCTACTACTGTTCCTTTAGATGAGCTTTTCTTTTCCCATATGATAAGGTAAAACTTAACTATAAAGTTGCAGCTAAAATGTTCCCTTCCCTCTTACTCCTAAGTAGATGTTCCTCTTCTGTACTCTTTGTATTCACTTTAAACTACCATTTTGGTATTTATTATATTGTATGTGGCTAGTTTAAATTATTCCATTAGGTCTCAAACTCCTTTGTATCTTTAATATAGTATTTTATATATCTTTATTGAATTAAATATATATACTGTTTCATTAGCATCTATATTCATACAAATAGTGTACCTGGGTGGCTCAGTCGTTAAGCGTCTGCCTTCGGCTCAGGTCATAATCCCAGGGTCCTGGGATCAAGTCCCACATCGGGCTCCCTGCTCGGCAGGAAGCCTACTTCTCCCTCTCCCACACCCCCTGCTTGTGTTCCTGTTCTCGCTATCTCTCTCTCTGTCAAATAAATAAAAATCTTTAAAAAAAAAACAATTCTAAATATATTGATATTTACAAATACACGTATGAACATATACCTAATTATTTACACAGCAACCTTTAATGCAAATTTGGCAGAGGGATAAAAGAGAACATAAGAAAATGAGAACAAAGAAATGAGAGGAAAACATAAGGTAGCAATAAACACAGATTAAGGTAGGTGAAGGGAATTGATACCTACTGAGGACCTCTTGTGAACTAAATAGTGTGCTGAAGAACTTGATGTGTGTTATATTATTCAACCCTAAAACTACTGTTTGCAGTAGGCATAATCATCACTTTTAAAATCAGGAAACTGAGCTACAGAGGAAGGAACGGGAATTGTGAAGAGAGTTTTGAAGAAAAGCATTTGTGAAGAAAATTATAACACTATGAATAAACCTGAAAATATATGTGAAAAGATACAGGGATTAATGGTCAAGTCTATGAGTATGAGAGGAAATAAAAAGTGATAATTATGGAGATTTGCATGGCCAGAGTGGGTATCTCCCTAGTTTCACTATAATCTCCAATTTCTGCAGCTTGGCACATTGTTCTGTTGGATCATATTTTCTGTAAATAATCTAAAATTAACATTATGTTACATACATCATCTAAATACTCAACAAGACTAATTGCCCAGTGTGTACACATTCACTGCCCTCCGCTGAATTTCTAAATTATGATGAGGGACTTCTCAGATGTTGGCTCTTTTGAATGTATTATTTAGGCAGATAAACCCCAAATGTGAATTTAATTTCTTTAAAGGTTCCAAATGAATAGCTATCCACTGGAATTTCAGAGTACAGCCAAAAATAAGGTGGCTTCCTGTTTCTTGATAGTATAATATATGTTGTTATGATATGGGGTAAGCTTGTTGCTAATATCATTTTCTTCCCATGGCTAAAGATATCCTCACCTTTCATCATTTATTTTTTTTTTTGGCTGGTGGAACAATTATTTCCTATTATAAAATTTCACTCTGTTTACTTTACATAAATAAAAACCATGCTTTGATATAAAAAAGAAAATGCAGGATAGATATTTTCAATGTTTTTTCATGTTTCTTAAAATGAGAAATTGATTGTCTTTTTAAAAATGACAGCTTGCGTAAACCCTGAGGTAGCTGAGATTAGAATAACACAATCATCCATCTGTTGTTAGTTCCCTCAGGATTCCAATCTATTATAAAATTTGCAGATCTGGAAAAATCAAATTAGTTTAGCTGTTTATCCCCTTAAAGAAAGAGGAATGAACAAAGTTCTGCACATTTGCAGTTTGTAATTCTATATAGGTATCTTTCCAAATCTTAACCAATGTTAATTTTTTGTTGGTTCAATTCCCTGGAATGAGTTGGAGATTTTTTTTTTCCTAATGTAATTGCTTCTTTAAATGATAAATTAAGTACTCCTTTAAAAGGAAATATTTTTAATTTTATACCTTTACTCTTTATGTTGCTAATCAAAAGGTTGGGAAGAAATCAGAAAATTTTGCATTGTTTCACCTTTTGACTATTGAAATACTTATAAACTTAATATATATTGTTAAACACCTTTTATACTTTCTTTGGATATTCAGCAAATACACTCTTTTCCACCTTCCATTTATGGAGCATGTTTATGAGTATGCTTAATAATTGCAAGGAAGTATATAATATGAATTAATTAGACTATCCCCAAGTAGGGGAAATAATTCATACACCTAAAATGATGAATTAAATAAATTGCAACAATTAGTAAGAAAAAATAAAGAAAACTGACATTTTCCAGCTGGCTGCTTTATTTCAGGCATTGTGCCTTTAAGTGTGGTATTTAAATTGGGTTATTGTCAAATGAGGGTTTTTGTTTTTAAGTGCCATAAGTGTTCGGTGGAAAGAGTGATCAGTGTTGACTAGTGCTGTCAGGAAAGACGAGGCAGAAGTGATAATGGAGCAAGAGGAGTGGC